TGTTCAGCAAAGTGATCAGGTCATGACTGAGAAAGAATACTATTTGTGGTCAAACAAATTCAATAATTGGTGTATCCATGCAAGTGCTGCAGCTTTTTTGTACAAAAATTTATATTGCCTCTTTCGTTTTGAGTTTAGCAATTCTAAACAAATCATGAAATGCAAGCTGCAAATGAAAACAAATGAAAATGAAATAGACATTTGGGGCGTTTGAATTTGGCCTCACTGAAATGTGCTTTCCTTCCCCGGGCTTCGAGGACATAAGTATAAACAAAAGATGCTTTTTTTAGGCAGCATCACCGCATTGTATTGGCTGCTTCTTTGGAGAAAATATATTCTCTTATATTGGGCGGAGTCGCGACGATTCGTTTGATAATTTAAAATATAAAACCCTGGTATGCAAAAAGAATTGCAATGGTGTTTTCTTTTTGCTGGCTAGCTAGTCGAATATTTCGACTTTAATTAAGTCATAAATATCCTTTCAGAAACTACAGAAATTCATTCAGTACAGCTAAGTGAAGTTTTCCAGAGTATCGGACAAAAAAAAGCCCAAGAATTTATCCTTATTCAATTGTAAATATAATGTCAGCAGCAGCATCACTCTAATTCCAAAAATATTTGTTATCAAAGTAGTTATTTTGCAACTGAAATCAGTAGGGCATCAACAGGGACACAATCCATTGGCATACATGACCTGCATTTATTCAGTACTGAGCTTGCAATGCATTGTAGGGCGATTTTCAAATATGGCTGTTTTTGGTTGTTTCTTGTGCGGAGAGAGACTTTGTTGCCGTGTTTTGGCCCATATTTGTCGTGTTAAAAGCAAAACAGGACCAGAGTAGCTGTTGTTTTCCGTTTAATTTATTATGTGAATGATTTTTTGGCCGATTTCATGAGAAGATTGAAGTCATCGGACAGATTAGATGGGAATGAAAACTCCATGTTTAGGCGCCCACGCGAGCTCCTTGAACAAAACTTAAGTCGCCCGCACTCGTGACTTAGGCGCCTCAGGCGACCGGGCGCCCGTTAGGCAGCAGCCTTGATCTAAGTTTGAAATTAGTTTGAAACAATTTATCCATATTTTTGTGTAACAGTGTTTACATGTAACTCAAC